AAACACTTTCGCAAAAAACACTTTCAATAATTTTTTTAATGCACTTCCAAACCACTTCATAAAACTTCACTTCTACCCATTTTCTTTTTCGATTCTAATAATGTTAACTTACAAACGTTGAGTTTTCATATATAGAGCTCATTTGGATGTACTTTTGAAATGACTGGAAACGCTTTTGATGAAAATGTTTTTAGAACTAATCACTAGTAAAGATGCGAATAAATCCTGGAAAAGCACTTAAAATGCTTCTTGAAATAAGCACATAACTGGTGCTTCTTGCAGAAAGCACTTTAAGTGCTTTTGAAACCCAAAAATATTTTCTCTAAAAGTGCTTTCAGTTATTTTAAAAGTACATCCAAACGAGCTCATATTTGTTCTTTGGAGCTTTAATTTCGATTTCAAGCTCCGTCCAAAATTTAATACTTAGAAATTCAAATCTATGATTAACCAATTCGACGCAAGAAATTTAAAGTCTAAGCATTAATGATTTCACACTACAAAACACAACCAATTGAAGCATAATTGAGAAATGTTGAATGAAATTGAGGGTTTCTCAATTTTACTACATTTCTCATTGGGCTTATAGGTAAGGTAATCTATATGAGCCCAGTCCAATCATTGATCCCACTTTTTTATTTTTCAATTGGGTTTATTTCCTTGCTCTAAGCCCAGACCTCTGAAGGCCTACCAAAACCCAACATATGTAAAACCGATCTCAACTCTCTCCTCTGCCCTTGCACAACTTGAGCTTGCTATTTTGTTCCTCAAGGTTGTGACATCTTTTTGTAAAAATGAACTTGATTTTGAATTGGTCTAGCGTTATTTAAGTCCGCACTTAATTATAAGAAGTCTTATGTTCGACTCGTACAAATGTATGAACAATTTTCATCATTGTAAATTTGTAGTGAGTTTGACAACATTTAAGATAAGTTAACAACACGTTCTAAAATTTTTTATAAGTAACTTATCCCTTGTGGCCAAAAAAAAAAATGAAATTTATCAAAAACATTACTAAGACAATGGGTTACATAAGATATTTGTCTCATGAGAAGATTCCATCCCATGTTATAACGAGTGTGCAATTTTGTTTATCATCCTTAAATGATGGTAATGCTCACCATTCTTTTTATCGTTATTAGATGTTGTTAAATGAGTTGAAATTTTGAGATATGTTTATATCCACTACACACATATCAAAATTTAAACTCATCTAACGATGATAAATAGAGTGACGAACATCACCATTATTTGAGAATGGTAAATAAAAATATTCCGTTATTACAATATTCATGATACAACATTTCCTTTGTAGTTTAATTCCAAGTTGCCACATATATGCTTTGTGTGACTTAAAATTATGGACTGTGTACAATATGGTGCATGATGTTGACACGCTTGCCAACGACGGGGTAAAGACCGTCTGCCCCCTCAAAAGCGACGGTTGGTTTAGTTAAGAGTTTAGAATAATAGTGACCCTAAATATCTAAATATACAAACAGATGAAGGATAAAGACATCTAAATTTTTTGGCATATTTAGAAGTGTCTTTCAAATGATTGAAAGTTTTTTTTTCTTTTAAATGTTTTTGAGTGTCGTTTTTTAGGATGCACTTGCATATTTACTAGATTAGCTCCAAAAATATTTTAACAAAATGCGTTTTCAATTATTTTAAAAATAATTTTAAATTAGCTTAAAAAGAGTTCTGAATTTTTATATTTTGGTAATATAAAAGGGGCAAAGAAAATATGTCTTTTGCGCTTGAAACTTATTTCCATTTTTTGAAGATATTCTTATTTATTTACACTATTTATTCTCGGCTTTGGAAAGTGATGGATAACCGTGACTTGCCACTAGTTGTCTCCTTTAAAAAAAAATGTAAAAAAATATTATTACACTCATTCATTGCAATTATTATAAAATAAAATCACTGATAGTAAAGGAATTTACACAGAAAAAATTGGATGCTTCGTTTCTTTTTTTATTCACATGTCATCACAACATATAGATAATAAAGTTCCTAATTTATAAAAATTGAAATAAAATTCCCACATTTCTCTCCAGCTTCTCTCTTTCATATATATTTTTTAAAATCTTTTATATTTACACACAGTGTTTGTCGACTTGGTCCATCTCATTTTTCATGAAAATTTTTAATTGAATTGAAAGAGAAATTGATTGACCTTTTAATCTTTTATTATTAATTAGATTGACTAAATGCTACTATAAAATGAGTTCAAATTCTCTTTGTGAGGATCCTGGAGATTCGTGAATCATGTCCGTTCATCGTACATCATACGGTCATAAATCATTTTAAATATTTTTATTTAAAAATAAACATGAACAACACTTGATAAAAACTGATCGCACGATGTACGATGAACATGTACGATTCACATATCCCTAAGATCCTCACCAAAAAGATCTGAAGAGGATCCTGTTGGCTGTAAAATGGGAAGGGGGTCCTATCCAAATCTCTTCTACCTAATTCTCTTCGTCAAATAATTTAAACTTTTGAAATTTGATCTAACAGTTAAAAACAGATGAAATCCCTTCATGTAAAACGATTGTAGTCGGCAAAAATGTCGTTTTCCATGGGCTTTTGACACCACAAAATACGCGTGACCACAAATCAAAAGTTTGTTTTTATATGAAATAAAGAGCCACATGGCAGTTTGACAAAAGAAAAAAAAAAGAGATACATGGCAGATGTCGGAACTAAAATTTGACACTTCAACGCAGGAATAAAAGAAAGTTCAGAAATTCTAAAGATTTTAGTCTCCATCTTGATCTTTGATAATATATTGTTAAACCATCTTCATGTGAGTTGTGACTATCGCACAATGACACGTACATAGAAATTTAGGAAAGATGCTCGAAACGATTTCTTGCTTTGAACCTACACAAGTTTATTAGCTATTGTCTGATTTAGCTTATTCATCTATTTCTTTAATTTAAATAGAATCATTTGTTTAAAAAATATAAAAAATTAGTAGAGAATTGCTACGGACTTTTTATTAGATTTTCTGTCACTTCACAAATAAAACGTCAATTTTCTTAAAGATATGATGAAATAGTGTATAAAACATGAAGTGATAAAGAGTTTATTAGGAGTATCGCTTTTGAAATAGACCAAGTAGCATTTCTCAAGTTGACTAATCCACAGTTTGGTGTAAAATATAATACAAAACACCTGTATGAGAGATATCATATAGATAAGGACGTAATTTAGATGCCTAACTCAAGTTTTACGTGGACCTACCTTAACACAATCTAAAGTGACTCGTGTCAGATTTATCTTATTATTTCATTTCCTTAGTGTAAATAGAATTGCTTGTTCAAAAAGAAAAAAAAAATAGTTTACTAGTAAACTATTACCAGACTCTCTATTGGACTTCCTGTCACTTCACAAATTAACATCAATTTTCTTACAAATATTATGAAATAGTGAATAAAAATTATGGAGTGACAGAGAGTTTATTGAGAATCTCGCTCTTAGCATTTCTCAAGTTGACCAATCCACAGTTTGGTGTAAAATATAATACAAAAACCCTGTATGAGAGCTATCATATAGATAAGGACGTAATTTAGATGCCTCTAAAACAAGTTTTGTTGGACCTACCTAACGCAATCTAAAGTGAATCATGTTTGTTTATTAAATCAAAAAAATATTGGAATTACAACCAGTAACAATTCATAAAAGGGGAGAATTTGTTCGTGGTAAGCACTAATGCTTGATGCTAACCTACTTTTCTCTTTTGCTATTTATTCTTATATTTTGGTGATGCCAATGTTATTTACACTTATACTTTTGTAATATCAAATTCATTATATAAATCAAACGAGCTTGTAACTCCGTTGATACGAATATATATTTTTGCATTTGAAATTTGAGTTCATTATTATTTATTACAGGTGATACTATTAATCTAAACTAAACTGAAAGGAGAAAAATATTGAAACCTAAAACACATTCGGTTGAAGAATAATCTCACATAAGCACTGTGTTTTTTAAGGCAATAACACTGTTTAATCCTAAACACTAATCCTTCTAAAACTCTTGAGTATAAAATAGGATGGCGCTATCAACACATCTATTTTTATCTTCCACACACACTTCTCAATTTTCAGCCATTAGATCGAATAAATTGAGATATCAAAAGATGAAACTAACAGGGTTGTGTGGAGTTAAAATATGTGTATGGATTGCACACTATAAAATATTCCGAAATATACTAAAATTTTTCCAAAATGTGGAGTGCTATCCACACACGAATTTTTACTTTTCACACATCCTCTCAATTTTTGGCTGACAGATCGAATGAATTGAAGTAGATCACACCCATTTTTACTTCTCACACATCCTCTCAACTTTCGACTGTCAAATCAAATGGATTGAAGAAGATCATAACCATTTTTACATTTTACACAACCTTCTTCTTTTTTCGCCATCGAATCGAATAATTGAAGAAGAACAATATAAAAAATTAAAAAAATTAACAAAAGTGTCTGAGATGTAAAAATATGTGTGTATATTCACTTTTCTTCCTAAATATATATGCATTTTGGATTGTGAAAATTGGATCCGCTCCGGACCTTAGTGTCCGAAGCCTAATGATCAACTAATTTGAACAGCACAAATTGAATCCAACTGCTTTTATTAACTCATTTTTCTGAACCACCACACACAAGCCAACAACTTTGATTTCTTTTACTCACTAATCAGATAAATTGACCATTAAGCTCCGGACACTAAAATCCTGTGGACCCAGTTCCCCGGATTGTGGACAAAGAAGGAAAGCAAGTACTAACTGAAACGGTTAAAAGAAGAAAATAAAAAGGACAAAAGAACAAAAGAGGGAGAAGGACACAAAGCCAAAATAGAAACCAATCATTATCTCCCTTTTAATTCCGTAAATTTATGATTCTTTCCCCACAATAATCTCGTAACGCTGTAAAAAATATGTACAGATTAGACAGAGAGAGAGAGAGAGCGAGCCAATAAACCGCTTAGACGTTACCGACACTCGAGACAGATGAGAAGAAACCCCACAAACGCCAGCCGTTTGCTTGGAATCGGATCCAGTGGTCGTTGATGAGAGAGAGAGAGAGAGAGAGAGAGAGAGCAGAGCATCCCACCAAGAATAAGTGCCTTCCTTTAATGCTCCTATCTGCTTCTTTCAGATAAGCATTGTCGTCTTCTCCACTCCTTCTCCACGCGGCAGAAATAAACCATTTTTTGGTTTCTGGGTCTTCCACAATTTACGGGAATTCAGATATGTGATCATTTTTCTGCGATTTTTACAGGTTTTTTTTACTGTGTTTTTCATGTTGTAGTCTTGGTGTGTAGGAAAAGGAAGGAGTGGAACTGGAGAGGTGTTTTTGAATCGTACTCGGTTTTTACAGTCTTGTTCTTGTGTAGTAGTGTGGGATTTTGGGGTGGTCGGAGGTTCTGAGGACGGATTTGAGATGGGTATTCTGAGTGCGATTTTGGGTTTTGTGGGTTTTGGAGTTGGAACTTCAACTGGGCTTGTGATCGGGTATTACGTCTTCATCTACTTCCAGCCAACTGATGTCAAGGTCGGTTCTTTTATAACTATTAGTGGATTACTGCTCGGCTGATTGCTGATAATGTTTGTGTTTTGGTTCAACAAATGTCAATTTTTGTGACATATCTGATTTGTAATGAACCCAGAATCCTGCAATTCGTCCATTGGTCGAGCAAGATTCGAAAACTCTGCAGAGGCTGCTTCCGGAGATACCCATGTGGGTGAAAAATCCAGACTATGATCGTGTATGTTCACTTTTCGAAATTTTGGTTTTTGCAAATTTATTTTCTTGAGTTAGTGTTACAAATGCCACAAGAGAAGCTTATCATGATTTTTGTTTCTGTGAAGGTTGACTGGCTCAACAAATTTATTGAGCTCATGTGGCCTTACCTGGACAAGGTAATGCATACATATTATAGCAGTATTCGCATATTTTCCAGGGGTGTTTTGCTTGGTTGACTCTCTCTTACTCTTTTGTACTGAGTATTGGTGGTGAATTTGTTTTTAGGCAATTTGCAAAACTGCGAGGACCATAGCAAAACCCATTATTGCTGAGCAAATTCCGAAATACAAAATTGACTCCGTCGAGTTTGAAGCGCTTTCCTTGGGCACCCTACCGCCAACTTTTCAAGGTTGAGTTGATCCTCTTACTTTCCCTCTCTTACACGCACACAATTTTGGATCTGCATTCTGTTTTCGCGATCCCACCCATCGGTTATATGCTACTTATCACTTTTTATTTTGTGTTGTTATTGTTAATTTCTTGACATAGTATACTGTGAACAAGATGATATCCGCCTTAAAATTTCCATCTTATCTTATTTTAAACCTTTGTTCTGTTTTCCCCTGCTATGCAATACTCGTGCGGAGTGCTCATTTCTTGTTTTTCTGTATATGGCAGGAATTAAAGTGTATGTTACCGGTGAGAAGGAATTGATAATGGAGGTACAACTGAAGTGGGCAGGCAATCCTAACATCCTTGTTGCAGCTAAAGCATTTGGTTTGAAAGCCACAGTTCAGGTATGTTCCATGAAGGAACTAGTATATTTAAAGTTCAGTATGCCTGCACACACACACTACCCCAAGCGGTGGTCTGCCTATTCCATGCAAACACATGAACTAATACTTTGAATAAAAGTTAAGACGAGAAACTTATTACTGGATTTGAACGAAGCATTGATTCTTTGGATTGTTTCAGGTGGTTGATCTGCAAGTGTTTGCTTGTCCACGCATCAGCCTGAAGCCTTTGGTTTCAGCCTTTCCTTGTTTTTCAAAAATTTTCGTGTCTCTGATGGAGAAGGTATGGTACTGATTCCATGTTCATATTGCTTACATGCTTGATGATTGTATTACAGCGGAAAACTAGTTGGTAGTCTGGGACGTGGTATGTTATATAACTACATTGATTTGGTATTCTGGTACCTGACAATCCAGAGTCGGAAATGTGTTATATTTAATGTCATTTTCAGATGTACATTCTATATGACTTCAGTTTAATTGAAAAAGGCTCAATTTTTGTAATTATGACTATTAGAGATGTATACTGGGATTAGATGTCCATGACCACCCCACCATAGACAACCTCAGAATTATAATTCTGTTGCGGTGTCTATAATGTGCCACGTCTACCCCGTCCACTTACTTCCATTTCGTTTTCCTTTCTATTTTCCCTTCTCAACTATCTTATTAATGATTTGCAGCCGCATGTTGACTTTGGATTAAAACTGGTTGGAGCAGATGCTATGGCTATTCCTGGCCTGTATAGGTTTGTCCAGGTAGCATCTCTTACTTTTTGCGAAGGTTAAAGCAGTGATATGGTTTGTGTTTACATCGTATACGAAGGATGATTAGTATATATGTTATACCAAGATGCATAGATTACTTATTTATAGAATATTCTACTTGAAACTTGAATTTCTCAACGCCATCTTGCTTCCTTTTGTTATTCTGTTTTGATTCATCAGGAGGTTATTAAAGAACAAGTGGCAAACATGTACCTATGGCCCAAAGCCCTAGAAGTGCAAATCATGGATCCCGCAATGTATGTGTCATGTTGTTTCGTTTCGAGTACTTGTGTAAGTTGGTTGTTGTGTACTAATAATTTTGTTTAATTCTGTCAGGGCTATGAGGAAGCCTGTTGGGATTTTGCATATAAAAGTTCTTAAAGCAATGAAGCTTAAAAAGAAAGATTTATTAGGAGGAGCAGATCCATATGTGAAAATCAAGCTCACTGAGGACAAGCTTCCTTCAAAGAAAACAACTGTGAAACGCGGCACTTTGAACCCTGAATGGAATGAAGAGTATAATTTCGTAATCAGAGACCCAGAGACTCAAGCATTAGAGTTGATGGTTTATGATTGGGAAAAGGTATGATTCTTTGTTTGGAAATGTGAAAGAAAGTAGATACGTCTTTTTTTTAGCATGATTTTCTTTCTTTCCAGGATAGATAGAAATACACATAAGCGAGAAGCCACATTGTACCCTTGGTTCTCTACATTTATCATCTTACACGTATAATAATGTGGGTTTAATTTTTCTTAGATTGGCAAGCATGAAAAAATGGGTATAAATGTCATTCCACTGAAAGAACTTACACCTGAAGAGCCCAAAGTTATGACTCTTGACATACTGAAGAGCATGGACCTCAATGATGCTCAAAATGACAAGTCACGTGGACAGCTTGTCGTGGAATTGATCTATAAACCCTTTAAGGAGGATGAGATGCCTAAAGATGATGAAGATCCAAATGCTGTACAAAGGGCTCCTGAAGGAACACCTGCAACTGGTGGTGCACTTGTAGTTACCGTCCATGAAGCTGAAGATGTGGAAGGAAAGCACCACACTAACCCACAAGTGCGCATACTTTTCAGGGGCGAAGAGAAAAGAACCAAGGTACATAAGTCCATCATTGTCCTTGTCCTTTCTCCGTTTTTCCTCTTAATTGTTTATAAACTATAGTTACTGCATGCTAAAGGCCCGTAGCAAGGAAAGGAGGCTTTTTTTTAGTCGGAGACTCTTGCATTCTAAGTTAGTTGAAAGATGAGAAGAAATGGTGAAGTCTTATTGTCTGTATATGTGAAAGAAATCACTTTATTGGTGCTGATGCATGTGTCGGATAAGAACTTCCGATGAATAGACGAATTTGTTCCCGAACTGTTATGCAAGTGTCATGGGTTTTCCCTCCATGATGCTGATACAATAAGAAACGATTGAATGCCGTTCATTTTATGTGATCGTGGAATTTCAAAGTTTAACTTGGCTATAAACGTTTTGTATGTTTACTTGCAATCTCATTGGGAACTGACACAGCCTGTCAAGAAAAATCGGGATCCAAGATGGGAAGAAGAGTTTCAGTTTATATTGGAAGAGCCACCGAAAAAGGAGAGGCTTCATGCTGAAGTGGTTAGCCACTCCTCAAGGATGGGGCTGTTGCATCCCAAGGTAACACAGTTGAAACACATTCAACTTATTTAGATTTGCGTTTTTGAAATAACCCTCTGGTGTTTTTCCTTCCGATCAGGAAACTCTTGGATACGTGGACATAGACTTGGCGGATGTTGTTACCAATAGAAGAATCAATGAGAAATACGATCTGATAGATTCGAAGAATGGACGGCTTCAACTCGAGCTGCAATGGAGAACAGCTTCTTGAGGGGTATTGCAGTAAAAGAATTCTGTGTAGAAATGGTAAATGCCCTGTAAATTTCGATTCGTTTCGGATCATGTCCCGTGCGTTTTCATAAATCTGTGTAAATGCTACTCTCTCTGATTTCTCACCCTACCAGACAATTCAGAATATGCTATCGATGAATATATTTCTTGTTTGAGATCAATCATCTCTTTTAACTTTCATGTCTCCATAGGGAGGACTTGCCTACAGTATGCAAACTTTAGTGGTATTCCAAATTAACAGCGCAAAGCAATCGATGGAATCTTATGCAAGTTAGGAATAAAATCATTAAGTACGTGTGCTAAGTAAATCATATTCTTTTTTTCTTCTACTATAGTATTATTTCCTTAGCGGGTTTTATTTTTGATGGGTTTTTACTTAATTCTCACCCATCTGGTTGGTTTTTTAAATCAGGTTGAGCATGTGCAGATTCAAGTTGCTCGACTCAAGATGCATCCGTAGTGGGTGTAAATAGTTAAACATCAAGAGATACGTGAATGAACAAACGAAATATAAAATCACAAATTATACTTTATTAATTGAAAACAAATAAACACTGCATAACCCGTCATACTGCATCTTGCTAGACAGTTGAGAATAAATGAATACAAGCACTCCAGTAAAACACTAAATCAACGCCCAGCTAATTTTTAACGGGCTAGAAACCCTAATCTTGGCCCACAAGAAAAACCATAAATAATCATAATAAAAAACTAATTTTCCAAACACAAAGCTGCTGGGTTGGGCAACACAAATAGTTGGACGTCTCTTCCTTCGTCTTGTCCGGGTTTTCTGGTTAGGATTGTTCAGACCCGAAAAGTCCCCATTTGAAAGAGCTGAACTGAGATTTCTGGGGTCCAGTTTGAGATTGTTCAGACCCGAATAATCCAACCCGAATTATCTGAGAAACCCAAATAACCAACCCGTTTAATGTAAAACCCAAGATAATCAACGGAGGAGGGGTGTGATGTGACCATTTGCGGCGTTTATACTCGATTAGACTGAACACTGAACACACTTGATGAAGAGATTGCAAGTCTTGAAAAGTTTGTTCCTTCCATCCATCCATCAATCTATCAATCTGATTCCGCAGGTCAGCATAAGCATAGGCACAGGCTTTGCCGACAATACTCTGTCAAACTGAGATTTTACATAAATTTTGTCAACTTATATTTTTAACGTAATATTTTTCAATTAACATAAAAATTATGTTAAAATTATGAGATAACAAAGAACTTACGACAAATTTTACTTTTTCGCTTACCAAATTATAAAAAAATAGGAATCATCCTTATCGTTTAAGAAGAGACAAATTTGAAGGTTACCTTGACCCAACTCCCAAAGCCAAAAGCTTGTGGTGTGTTTGTATGCACTATTTAGGAGATAGAAGTGAAAGTCTACCGTGTCATAACCTAAATTCTTTTATGTCAATCTATTACATAAGGAGATGAGAGAAAATGTGTCATATGTCACGCTACCAAAGTATAGATACATAATTCTTTATTACAACCATGAGTTAATACTTTGTTAGTATTACTCTCGGATATTTCAATTATATATTAGAATCCATCGTTACGAACAAATATATATCACCTGTTGTACGGTGAATTTTCTCAATTAGATAGACATCTATAACGTAATACTTAATATAGCAAACTATACAATTATTTCTTGGATAGAGTCCCTTTGTTGAGGCTAGAATTGGCAAATGGGTCATATTTGTCGTGTTCGTGTCGTTTTCGTATCATACCAGTTATCTTAATTGATTCATGTCGTGCCAAATTCGTTATCTTAACAGGTTTTTCACATATGACACGATAACGACCTGACTCATTAACAGTTCGTGTCGTTTCGTGTAAGATTAATGGGTTATGTAATAAATTGCCGTGCCTAATGTCCAGAAATGGCAAACGGGTCGTTTACATGTCATACTTGTTATCTTAGTGGGTGACCTAACAATGATCTGATTTGTTAACGGATGACCTAATAACAATCCCATTTTTTAATGAGGTGACCATAAACCTAATATTTTTGTGTCATTTTGTATCGTGTTAACAGATTGTGCATAAAATTGTCAAACCTATTTGAGGCTGAGGCCACACCTGTGGACGTAAGTTTGGAAAGAAAGCATATAACCATTGGTACTTGAGCAGTAAAGAAAAACGAATATTAACCTATAAAAATAGTCCCTAGCAACTTAGAACTATGCAATGTCCTCCTACCAACAACGAAAATTCCCCTACTTTCTAAACCACCCTAAAAGTTTTAATTTTTCTAAAGACAATAATAATCCTAATATAATAGTTTTCAGTGTCACTGATACAAAAATAACCATCTTTATTCTTCTAACACTGAGCTTATAGATTCCCGCAATTGAGAATTCATCCACTAACACGCATGATCTGAAGAATATGAATCTGTTCCCACAACCCTAGTGGAAGAACAATGAGCAGCTTGGATCAAATCAGAATCAATGCTGCTGTCCTTGTTGTTACAATTTGTGAGGTTATCGAGACATCCCCACCCAAATTCTCCAGTAACGTCTCTTTCGTTTTTAGCATCTGTGCCATTAAAAAGAGGTCCATATCCCATAAAGCTTACTTTGTTGTAAAGTTGTCAACCAAAATGTTTAAGAACATTGTCTACGAGTGAACTCGTTTTGTTCTCCCTGGTCTTGAATCAAAGTGGAGACTTGTGGCTGTGGGTACATGTTCATCCTTCTAACTTTGTGAAAACTTGAGAAGGAAAATCGATAACATTATCCGTAGGAAAATTCCACAAATGTATATGGCTCGTGCGTTTTGAACTCATCATACAATTTCAAGCTGGTTTTGTCGCCTGCGAGGATGTACCTAATAGTGTAGTTCTAGTTCAGTCGAAAGGGAAGAAGATACGTTATTTTAAGGGGATGGAAGGTTGAGACGGCATGCAAGTTGAACTTAAAACTTTTAATTTTTATAGTACATTGATATTTTTACACCAAAAAGATGGGGAGTTCGGCTAAGCTATACAATTCACAGCCTAATTTAGTATCAAATTCGTCATCCATAAGATTCGAACCTAAGATCTCTCACTTCTAAGTAAAGAGGAATAACACCAAACTATGGTACTGAGTGACAAAACTTTTAGTTAGAAGTGAAGAATAGTACTACTTCATATTTGACATTAGTAGTGGTAATTGCTAGTTAACACTAGATTTTTTAGTGTGCTTGAATTCGGCCCGATAAATAAGTGTCATAATATTATTAGTTGAAAATTTAAAAAATAAAAAATTCAACTAATTTCATTATAATATTTGTTGTACTAAACAATATTTTTAGCACATTGAAAAACTTCTCAAAGGAAAGGAGGAAATAAACGAAAGCAGAAGAGATAAAAGACAGGAAAATGAGTGGACTTTTAGCTCCCAGCCAATTGGAGTCAGACGGAAAGTTGACCGTCTAGAAAAAGACGCAGTCTTTAATCTGGGCCCAGCTTTGCCCCGAGCCCATTCGGATCCTCAGTTCTCAGAAAGGTCGCATCCACAATTCCACATCAACCTTAGTTTCTGATCACTGGCCCCAAAAAAAAACAAAACCACATTTATAACGCAAAATTTCAAAGAAATTAAAAACCGCAACGACATGTTATGATCAATCTCTGCAATCATATATTAATGGAGTTTGTGACTGATGAGTCACAAAATAATAGTCTTTTTGCTATGAAAGAATAAGCTTACATAAGATATATGTTCTTTCGATATTAACAAAACAGAATTTCTTATTGGCTTTGGTCATCCAAACCATTCACCCTTAAAAGAGGATCTAATTTTGACCACGGAATCCCTATGATCCCTGGATGATCCTTTTCCAAAGAGGGAAACAAAGAGAGCTCTCCTTCTCCAGGCATGGTCGCACTGCCACGAAATCCAACGAGCCAAGTTATTCGTACGAAAGTTTCCCAAGCTTCCACATAAAAAACGAGGAGAAAAATATTAGAGTAAAATGTAATTAGGATAACGGAGGGATTAAGGGGTAACCAAGGACGTCAAAGTAGAAAGAGAGGGAACTGACACTAGAGAGCAGAGATTAGACAGTTCGGCCACTGCCAGAGACTTCCGGATCACGCCGTCAAAACACACCCATCCGACTGAGAATCGCAGAGGGTACCAACCTCTTAACGCCGTCAATTCAACCGTCCTCTGCGGTCTAACTTGTGTCCTGTACCCGTACGAATATAAAAACCACACACACGGAGACTTAACCGTCCGTTTAACCGCACCGTGAGCTATTACGCTGATACGACGAAATGGAGCGAGCGTCTCTCTCTCGTGCTAACTTTATTCCCATTTTTCACTTACTTTTTCATTATTCTTCATCTTTGATTCTGGCCGCCGCATTGCGCATTTGCATATATATCAGAAAACGCTATCTCTGCAAACAAAGGAGAGCTAAAAAAACGACGATTAATTAGTTATGGTTACCTCCGGCTTCCGCTGGATTCTCCCTGTTTGTTTTGTCGTTTTACTGCTCTGCTCCGCCACCTGCGGCGGACACGGCGACCTCGACGCGCTGTTGAAGCTCAAGGCCGCCATGATCGGCCCCAAACGTTATGGGCTCGAGGACTGGAACCCTTTCTCATCTCACTGCTCCTTTTCTGGCGTTCTCTGCGACCGCGACTCCAGAGTCGTTTCTCTCAACGTCTCGAATCTTCCCCTCTACGGCACGATAGCGGCCGAGATTGGGCTGCTTGACAAGCTCGTCAACCTCACAATTGCCGGCAACAACTTCACCGGGAGGCTTCCGGCCGAGATGGCCAACCTCATCGATCTCAAGCACCTGAACATCTCCGGCAACGTGTTCCACGGCAGCTTCCCCATCGAGATCGTGGTGGGGATGACGGAGCTGGAGGTTCTCGACGCCTACAACAACAACTTCACCGGGACACTTCCCGTCGAGCTCGTCAGTCTCAAAAACCTGAAGCACCTCCAGCTTGGCGGGAACTTCATTACCGGCGAAATTCCAGAGAATTACTCGGAGATACAGAGCTTGGAGTATTTGGGTGTCAACGGTAATTTGCTCAGCGGAAGGGTCCCCGCGAGCTTGAGTCGGTTGAAGAATCTCAGGGAACTGTACGTAGGGTACTATAACAGTTACGACGGTGGAATTCCGCCGGAGCTGGGATCGCTGAGCTCGCTGCAAATCCTCGACATGGGCAGCTGCAACCTCGTGGGCCCCATCCCCACCACTCTCAGCCTTTTGAAACACTTGCACACTCTATTTTTACAGGTGAACCGCCTCAGCGGTAGCATTCCGCCGGAGCTCTCGGCGTTGAACAGGCTCATGTCTCTTGATCTCTCCATCAACGAGCTCTCCGGAGAGATACCGGAGAGCTTCTCGGAGCTCAAGAACATCACGCTCATCAATCTGTACAGGAATAATCTCTACGGTCCGATTCCAAAGTTTATCGGCGATTTTCCTCATCTAGAGGTGCTTCAAATATGGGAGAACAACTTCACATTCGAGCTGCCGGAGAATCTTGGGCGGAACGGCAGGCTTAAGGAGCTTGACGTCACCGGAAACCACCTTACCGGACTGATTCCACGGGATTTGTGTACAGGAGGGAATTTGAAGACGGCTATTTTGATGGATAATCACTTCTTCGGGCCGATTCCCGAGGAACTCGGGCGGTGCAATTCGCTGACGAAAATCCGAATGATGAAGAACGCTCTCAGCGGAACAATTCCAGCTGGAATTTTCAGTCTGCCCAATTTGATCATGATCGAGCTAAACGACAATTTCTTGTCCGGCGAACTTCCAGAGCAAATGTCTGGGGGAAATATTGGAATCCTCACACTTTCCGGGAATCATCTTTCCGGAAAAATTCCGCCGGCGATTGGGAATCTCAAGAGCCTGCAAACTCTTTACCTGGAGATGAACGGATTTTCCGGCGAAATTCCGTGGGAAATCTTTGATTTAAAGTTGCTGTCGAAGATCAACTTCAGCGCCAACAGCCTCAGCCGCAAAATTCCGGATTCGATTTCTGGCTGTTCTTCCCTGACGTCCGCCGATCTCAGTCAAAACAGTTTGGTTGGTGAAATCCCGAAAGGAATTGCGAAGCTGAAAGTCCTGAGCATTCTCAATTTCTCCCGAAACCAACTCACCGGCGAAATCCCCGTCGAAATCAGATACATGACGAGCCTCACGACTCTCGACCTCTCCGACAACAATTTCGTCGGCAGGTTACCAACCGGCGGTCAGTTCCTGGTCTTCAACGACACCTCATTTTCCGGAAACCCCCATCTCTGCTCCCCACGCAGCGTCCAGTGCCCGTTGTTCCATCGCCCTAAACCGTTCGCTACCTCCAAGATCGCTCTCATCGTCATCGGACTCTCTACGATTCTGTTATTCTTGTTCATAACGGCGTACCGGATGAGTAGGAGTAAAATCCAAAACTCTCGGGCGTGGCGGCTCACCGCCTTCAAGCCCCTCGGTTTCAGAGCAGAGGATGTCCTGGAGTGCCTTAAAGAAGAGAACATCATCGGAAAAGGCGGCGCCGGGATAGTCTACCGCGGGTCAATGCCTGACGGTGTCGACGTGGCGATCAAACGGTTAGTTGGGCGAGGAACCGGGCGAAACGATCACGGTTTCTCGGCCGAGATAAAGACGCTGGGAAGAATCCGACACCGGAATATCGTGAGGCTGTTGGGTTACGTGTCGAACAAGGACACAAATCTGCTGCTGTACGATTACATGCCGAATGGGAGCTTGGGAGAGCTGCTGCATGGGACGAAGGGCGGGCACTTGCAGTGGGAGAGGAGGTATCGGATCGCCGTGGAGGCCGCCAAGGGACTCTGTTACCTCCACCACGACTGTTCGCCGTTGATTATTCACAGGGATGTTAAGTCCAATAATATTTTGCTGGATTCGGATTTGGAGGCCCACGTTGCAGATTTTGGGCTCGCTAAGTTCTTGCAGGGTGCTGGGGCTTCCGAGTGCATGTCTTCCATCGCTGGGTCGTACGGTTACATTGCTCCCGGTATGAAATTTCGTTCATCTTTTGACAGTTTAATGTGTGAATTGGCAAATGTACTTGTATACGATCTGACCTTTTTGCATGCGTTGGTACGAACAGAGTACGCTTACACACTCAAGGTTGACGAGAAAAGCGACGTGTACAGCTTCGGCGTGGTGCTGTTGGAGCTAATAACAGGGAGGAAACCGGTGGGGGAATTCGGAGACGGGGTGGACATAGTAAGATGGGTGCGGGAGACAACGTCGGAGCTCCCCCAGCCGTCGGATACAGCGTCAGTACTGGCGGTGGTGGACTCCAGGCTCTCCGGGTACCCGCTGGCAGGCGTGGTACACCTGTTCAAGATTGCCATGATGTGCGTCGAGGACGAGAGCCCCGCCAGGCCAACGATGAGGGAAGTGGTACACATGCTCACCAATCCTCCGCCCGCCGCTCCAACTCCGAGCCTGCTCAACCTTTGATTGGATACTCTCTTCTGGATTAATGTTCTTGAGTAAATAAAAGCGTAGCATCCAGAAAAATAAAATAATGAATTGCAAGGAGTAACAAGTAGTCGATTTTTGTTTCATCATTGTAAATGTCTCGAAAAAAGTTCGACTTATCTATGAACATGCTTCCATGCAATTTTCGCAAAAGATCCCGCCAGTTCTCTGATATTTTCAATAGTGGTCTTCAATCGCGAGTCTATTTAAAAAAGAATCCTTCTGAAGCCTCTCTGCTAATTAGGAAAAATTAGAATGCGTTGCATCTTTTCTATAATAGTTAGATTAAATATTGATCCATTTTAAAGATTTGATCAAGGTGCTTTGATCAATTGCCACTTCAATAACCTCAATAATTTTATATTTATTTAATCTTCATGTCATTAATTTAAATGCATTTATGTAGAGGCATAAGGTAGCTCAGTAACTAATTGCCTATAATATCAGAATTTAATTTCGTCAATCCCTGTGACATCCCACATCGCCCAGGGGTGATCCTTATATGTATATCCCATCCCTACCTAGCACGAGGCCTTTTGGGAGCTCACTGGCTTCGGGTTCCATGGGAACTCCGAAGTTAAGCGAGTAGCGCGCGAGAGCATTCCCAGAATGGGTGACCCATCGAGAAGTTCTCGTGTGAGTTCCCAAAAACAAAACCGTGAGGGCGTGGTCGGGGCCCAAAGCGGACAATATCGTGCTATGGTGGTGGATCGGGCCCGGGAAGTGGTGCCCCCCGGGCCGGGATGTGACAATTTGGTATCAGAGCCTAACCCTGGCCGCGTGTGTGCCGACGAGGACATCGGGCCCCTAAGGGGGGTGGATTGTGACATCCCACATCGCCCAGGGGTGATCCTTATATGTATATCCCATCCCTACCTAGCACGAGGCTTTTTGGGAGCTCATTGGCTTCGGGTTCCATGGGAACTTCGAAGTTAAGCGAGTAGCGCGCGAGAGCATTCCCAAGATGGGTGACCCATCGGGAAGTTCTCGTGTGAGTTCCCAAAAACAAAACCGTGAGGGCGTGGTCGGGGCCCAAAGCGGACAATATCGTGCTACGGTGGTGGATCGGGCCCGGGAAGTGGTGCCCCTCGGGCCGGGATGTGACAATCCCTTTCTACGCATTAAATGATATTTGTTTAATAAAATAAAATAAAAAATTAATTAACTAATTCCTCATTTTCTTATTATCAGTATTTTAAAAAAAAAATCCTTCTATTAAAAATGTCTCAATAAAAAGTCTTCAATACATTTTTTTTTCACGTATAAATATATAAAAAACTTATGGTACATTTGAGAACAAAAGTATCGACTTTTGGTAAGTTTAGATTTCAAATGTACCGAGAAATCAAATGTACCAAAAATTCAAATGTACCATAAAACCAAATGTACCTATTGTTATGTAACCCTTTTGGTACGTTTAAATTTCAAATGTACAAAAAAAACCAAATGTACCAAAATTTCAAATATACCATAAAACCAAATGTGCCCATTGTCAAGTAACCCTTTTGGTACGTTTAGATTCCAAATGTACCAAAAGACCAAATGAACAAAACAACCCAAATGTGCCACAAAACCAAATGTCTCTATCAGATAACCTATTTTGGTACATTTACATTCCAAATGTATCGAGAAATACTAAAAATCAAATCCACTATAAAACTAAATGTGTCCATATTATAGGTAACTAGACGTAGCTATATAATCAAACAAATCTTTATTATTGACATCCCACATCGCCCAGGGGAGTGATCCTTATATGTATATTCCCATCCCTACCTAGCACGAGGCCTTTTGGGAGCTCACTGGCTTCGGGTTCTGTTGGAACTCCGAAGTTAAGCGAGTAGCGCACGAGAGCACTCCAAGGATGGGTGACCCATCGAGAAGTTCTCGTGTGAGTTCCCAAAAACAAAACTGTGAGGGCGTGGTCGGGGCCCAAATCGGACAATATCGTGCTACGGTGGTGGAGCGAGCCGGGGAAGTGGTCTGCCCCGGGCCGGGATGTGACAATTTAAGTGACATGTTGCTTCTACTTTTCTTTTATAATATATATATCTTTTGACGTAGGCACCTCAGTTTTAAATTCTTTTGATCAAACATCCATGCCTTTTAATGATTTGATTAAACGTTTTTTGTCATATTTTTTGTGCTATATGCACATTATATTATAACAAATTTACTATAATCTAGCCTTTTGATTACACTCTCCTCTGTTAGAGATAATTGTAAAAAAAAAAAAAAAAAAAAAGTTGGTTAGATTCAATTTATTTTCACAATAATGCTACAAATTATCAATAATTATCTACGATTTAAGATATTTTCTTTCCAAAATAGTTTAAAATATTTTTAAATTCCCCAAATTCAAACGTACGGAAATAAGTTTTTCTTTTAGTATTTTAAAAGAAAATAGGATTGAGAATAATATAAACATAACAATATACAATGTGTACAAAATAAAATAATGTACCAATACTACCAATATGTATTAAATCAAATGTACCAAAATTGCAAATAAACATACCAATTAATGATTTTTGTAAATTCAAATGTGCCCGCAGATAATATATACGTAATGTATTGCACCTAATAATAATTCATCAACAACTATACTTAAAAAACAGTAAAAAAATTAAAAAAAAATCACAAAAAAATTGAAAAAATTACATGAAGCTTTTATTTTGATCACCAACTATTTAAAAAAGAAAAAACCATTTGAAAAAAGAAATAATATTAAATGTTTGCATAACCAAAAAAAAGCAAAAAAACAAAGAAAAGCTGATAAAAAAAACATATTTGGAAGAAGAGAAATATATAGTTTAATTACTAATATCTCCACTAAATAAGGAAAAGTATATCAAATTTAAAAATTATTTTAATTTTAAAAAATAGAGGTAACTATTGGTCAAAACACTTTAATCAAATTTTAAAAAGGTATAGATGTTTTATTTAAATGATATAAAAAAAACCGTGGGGGATTTTAATTTTTTCTTAGTTTTTCAAATTTTAACTTAAAAACTTTTTGGAGAGGCAAAAAATTCAATTTATAATCAAAACATTATGTTTCAGGGGAACTTTAACAAAAGACTTCCGGTACTGTTCATTTTAACAAAAAAATCATATTTTTACACTAAAATATCAATCCTAGTACTAATAAAAAAGGCTTGAAAATTTTGAGTTTTCACTATACAGAAAAAATAAGGGGTAAAATAAATAGTATCAAGATTGATCTTTTATTGTAAAAATATAATTTTTTGTTAAAATAAAACGGCAACTTTTTGTTAAAGTTACTTAATACATTTGTAATTTTAGAAATATTGCGTTCCCTTTGCGAAAGCAAAGTTCAAAACTTGAAATAGCCGCATCGCTCCATTTTAGCGCTAAAACTCAAACGGAAAAAAAGAAAAAGGAAAGGCGTGACGTTGAGAGCAGAGACGAAGCGACACCGCACACGCTCACTGATTGAGTATGGAGATCAACAGCCCAGCACCGGGTCCAAACACGGTGACCGTTCGCCGTAACCCTCACCGGAGGGCCAGGCCAACGCCAACGCCCGCCACAGCAGCTCGAGAAATGCAAATTCCGTCTTCAATTGCGCCCGGAGTACGATCTTTCCCAACCCAAGAAATCCTCTCCATGGACGTTGCTAAACCGAACCCCGTGGCCGAAAACCTTAGGGTTTTTCTGAGGATTCGGCCCCTTGTGCCGTCCAAGCTTGGGGACAAAACAGGCGGCTTCGGGGCGGATCAGAATCCGAAGCCGAGATTAAAAAATGCTTGGCCCCAAAACCCGGCGAAGAAGAAGTCGGCGGCCGGACGATCGCCGCAGAACAACAGAAAGATAAAGGAAGAAGTCTGTATAAAAGTGAATACTTCTCATTCCGTGACGCTATCGCCGCCACTAGCACTGCAGGAATCTAACCGCACGAAGACTGAGGTTTATGAGGGGTTTTCGCACGTCTTCTCCTCTGATTCCTCTCAGGTTAGTTTTCGTTTGTGTTATGTTTGGTTGGAGACAAAATGCTGGAAAATTCAGTGGAAAGTATGATTTCAAATTGTTCTTTTATAATGATCATGTATAAATCTCTTTCCTTTTGGCGAATTTGTGTTGTTGTTGATAGGAAGAGGTGTATGATAAGATGGTGAAGCCTTTAGTAGAAGAATTTCTGAGGGGTAAGAGTGGGATGCTGGCTGCATTGGGGCCTAGTGGCTCGGGTAAGACTCATACGGTGTTTGGGTGCCCCAGGCAGCCGGGTATGGTTCCGCTTGCTCTTCAACATATCTTCAATCAGACTTCAGGGAGCATTTCTGAGTCTTCGAGGTATTGGGCAACGTCAACACGTGATTTTAGTCTTTAGATTTAGTTGCTGGACCTGTTACTCAACTTATATCGTATGATGTCTTCATTCACTCTTCACAGATCATTTTTCATATCGATCTTCGAGATAAGCTCTGAACGAGGCAAAGGAGAAAGGCTATTTGACTTATCTCCTAATGGTGGAGATTTAAGCATGCAACAATCAACCCTAAGAGGCTTGCAAGAGGTTGATTACTATCTTTGAGTTTAATTTGATTATGTGGTTGGATATTGGAAATAACTAGCACCTATTCTATTTCTGTAAACAGATACCCATTTCTGACGCTAGACAGGCAGAATCGTTAATTGCTCAGGCAATGCTAAAGCGTGCAACGGGAATGACAAATGCAAATAGCCAATCAAGGTGCGTGACAGTCACTGATGAACTTACGTATTCTTTGTTTCATCCATTTTTCTACATTGTTTCTTACAATGTCTGAATTTTACGGTCACATAAGAATTATGGCTACATTTTTTATATGCTTCTAGCCGGTCGCAGTGTATTATAAACATTCGTGCTGTTGCTGACAAGTGTAATGGAGATGATAATAATCAAGCAAATGATGGCGTCCTCACTATTGTTGATCTTGCTGGAGCGGAAAGAGAAAAAAGAACTGGAAATCAGGTTTCACATATGTGACTGAATTATTCTCTTTGAAGTGCTGGCTTTTAAATGTTGAAGTTTGTTCAATTTTGGATGTTCAATGCATCCCTCAGAGCATGATATTTGCTCTATAATTGTTACCACCATCTCGCCAGATCTATACTATTAGTATTTTTGGGATACTTCGATTAATGACAGATTTTTTGCACAAGTCTTGATTTTGAATAATGATTTTGTTTATGGTTTGGCCTTTTTTCTTTTAATTTTCAGGGAGCCAGATTGCTTGAAAGTAATTTCATCAACAATACATCAATGGTTATAGGCTTGTGCTTGAGAGTATGTTGCCTTAAGTTGGTTTTCTAGACTTCATTATTCATTTGCATTTTTATGATAATCAGTTCACCATTTTACTTGGGTGATTATTGCTTGCTCATTTTTTTTACAAATTTTAAGTCCCCTAGCTCTCTCTCTCTCTCTCTCTCTCTCTCTCTCTCTCTCTCTCCCCCTATGCTTGTATGTGTCTATAGTCATTTTCCTTTCTTTTTTGTGGATTTAGTCGTTACTGGAGCATCAGAAGAACCCTAAGAAACCATTGCAGAAACACTTTCAGAACTCTTTGGTAATGTTTTCCTCTACTTATTGAAAATACGTAATATGTTTTGCTTTGCTGATTTATGTACATAGTTGATCGGAATGGCCAACTGAGATGTATGTATGCTCATCATGCATCTTAGTTATCTGATCTATTGACGAGAAACAATCTTTTGTTTAAGTACCTAATACAAAGATTCGAATTGGCATGAAATATTGCCAGGGTTGGTTTTTTTTTTTTTTTTGGAGGTCTTTTGGTAACTTTAATACAATTTAGGATCAAATGTTATTAATGTGATTTTTTTTTTTCCTCTCTCTTCAAACAGTTAACCAAGTATCTGCGAGATTATTTGGAAGGCAAGAAGAGGATGGCATTGGTATGCTGTCTTATTTCCAAAATTGGATAACCAATGGAGTTTGTTCAAAAACTTTTGATGAGTTGGAATATTCAAAATATGTTTTCATTTTCTTGCGGTTTTGTTGCCGTTCCAAATTATCTCATGCACTTTCTTTCTTAAACTCACAGATTTTAACAGTCAAATCAGGAGAAGGGGATTATCGTGATACATCTTACGTGCTGAGACAAGCCTCACCTTTTATGGAAATCAAGTACAATTCACACCTCCAACCCAAAAATTGCACATTATATTTGAACTATTTCTTGCTGTATGAAGTGTTAACAGCTTTGTACCATGTATTTCAGGTATAATTATGTTGAAGAACCATCAAATATCTCATACCCCAAAAGGCATTTCCAAGCTTTGTCTAGAACTGAGCAGCGCAAAAAAATGAAAGTTACTGATCCCGATGCTTGCGCTGTATGTCTGTCTTGGTTAAATGATTCTTTCAATACCTTACAAGTTATGTTATTATTTCATTTGTGTCTCAATTTCATTGCTGGCTTCAGATGTTGTTTTGTCAGTATTCCTATCTGAAGAGTAACATAAGATCATTTCACTTTCTCTTTTATGCTTGCTAACATTTACTTTCATTGAAATTATTTTTAATGGGATTAGCGTTTCCATTTTGACTGATCAGTGTTTGTATCATTGTATCCATGCTACACATGTTCCCAAACTTCTGCAAAAATTTATGGATGAACATTATGTACACATTGGGTGTTGTGATTATTTTGGTATTTGGTGTGAGTGTTTCCAAAAATTTCTCTGTATCTATGTTGTAGCTTAATTGGAATAACTGGAAGCAACTATGACATGTATTATAGTTCCCAAGTGTCTGTATCACTATTGGATTATTTTAAAGAAAACCTAAAGCATATCTTTATCACTTCTATTTTCTGGTTGATTTCAGATTGAAGAACACAAAAGCATTGAAGCAGAAAATGCACTATCCAAGGAAGGTTCTGTAAAAAGCAGTGGTAACTTAGATGGACTTACCCACTTTCTTTTTCTTATTCCAACCGCCAGGATTCCTTATCTAATTTGCTTAGTTTCTGCTCTGTGCGTTTACAAAATCAGGTTGTGTTGACTCCGATCAGGGAGAGAGAAACCATCGGATAATGCAGAGTTTTTCCAAAGCTATATGGAATGTTTTGAAGCAGTATAAAGAAAAACTCAAGGTAATGAAGAGTTTTTAAGTTTTTGGGAAGTGATATCTTCTTGTTTTGAAACACATAAGACTTTTAAAGTTAATTACTAGCTCCATATACTCATCTGTATTGGCCAAAAAGTATAATCATCAATCTAATTGAAGTAGGTGGCAGATGACGAAATCCAACATCTCAGAGAAAATCTCATGACTGAACAGACAAGATGTCTTGAGCTTGAAAAGGAGCTCAAGGATGTCCAGTCCTGCTGTTCATGTTCCAACAGAGAAGCAGTTGAGGTCAGCTTGTCTGGAGTGGGTGGTCAAGAATCTAGCAATCTTGATGAGGTTTGACATATTTTGTCTTGCTCAACTATTATCTACCTCTTAGAGTTTGGTTTCATGTTTGACTTGGTTAGTAATCTTATCTTTAATGAATTTGCTTACGCTAAGTGGTTTTACCTTCCTGATACCCTAGGTGAAAAGTTTGGATGTTGTTGAGGTGAGTACTTTATGCCTTGAACTTGAAAACCCAAATAAGCAAGATCATCAGGTAAGAACTATCAAGAAAGAAGATTTTAATCTTATCGTTTAGAGTGATTTACGTTTTAGTTGAATTGGAATTTAACGTAGCTGTTACATGCTATATAACGCAGACATGTGAGGGAGTTTCCGGCAGTGAACATAGTGCCACGGATCTGTGTGAGTCTATATCTGTCAGACCAGAGGATAGTTATTTGAGTGTGGATGTAGCAGGTTAGACTTAAAGAGTTCAATACTTTACATTTGCATATCATGTTGTACTTGTAGTTTTTACCATGATTTGTAGTTTGTAGTTGTAGCTTCTTAACCAGTAACTAGTGCTGTGGACTTTGACCACAAAACACAAGAACCTCTTAAATCTTGGTTTTGTGTCAGTGTGATATTCTTTTGCCTACTAGGTATCATTTCCACAGAGTTTCTAGCTTGAGTTTGTAAGTTTAAGGTTTTCAGGTTTTATGGTGGACTCTTATCAGTCACTTGCCATGCATAGAAAGGATAGCTGCTCTTCTGTTGAACTGGACGACTTGCTTGGTGAGGGGCATAAGGTTAGACTCTTGAACTATATTTTGAATTTTTGTGATTTTTGTGATTCTTTGAATCTTATTTTTCTTCCAATGATGTTTATCTTGTCTGTACGTTTTCAAGCTTTTTCATTGTCCTCATACATACTTCCAGCCAATCGTTTTTTTTTTTTTTTTTTTTAACTTTTGTTTTACATCATCACTGTCGTGAAAAAGTATATGGCTACACTATATGATTCCTTTTACCTCTTCTTTACATAAGACTCTTGTTAACTAGTGTGAATAATTGCATGTGGTTCTTTTCCCTGTTAAATAGGAATCATCAAAAGATATTTCCTTAAATGGATATTGCAATGCTGTTGACCTGCTAGATGATGAGAGTTCACTCAATACTTCTTTCCAAGCATTACAGACGGAGAACTTGGAGGAGGTTGCCTCTACTGGACAAAGTAATGGTGTTGACCTGCTAGATTGTGAGAGTGGCCTCGATACTTCTTGCCAAGCTATACAGTTGAAGAAATCGGAAGATGTCCCCTCTACTGGACATTGCAATGCTGTTGACCTGGTAGATAGTGAGAATTTACTCAATACTTGTTGCCAACCATTACAGACGGAGAACTTGGAGGAGGTTGCCTCTACTGGACAAAGTAATGGTGTTGACCTGCTAGCTTGTGAGAGTGGCCTTGATACTTCTTGCCAAGCTATATGGTTGACGAAATTGGAAGATGTCCCCTCTACTGGACATTGCAATGCTGTTGACCTGCTAGATGGTGAGAGTGCACTCGATACTTCTTGCCAAGCATTACAGATGGAGAACTTGGAGGAGGTTGCCTTTGCTGGACAACGTAATGGTGTTGACCTGCTAGATTGTGAGAGTGGCCTTGATATTTCTTGCCAAGCTATACAGTTGAAGAAATCGGAAGATGTCTCCTCTACTGGACATTGCAATGCTGTTGACCTGCTAAATAGTGAGAGTTCCCTCGATACTTCTTGCCAAGCATTACGGACGGAGAACTTGGAGGAGGTTGCCTCTACTGGACAAAGTAATGGTGTTGACCTGCTAGATTGTGAGAGCGGCCTTTATACTTCTTGCCAAGCTATACAGTTGAAGAAATCGGAAGATGTCCCCTCTACTGGACACTGCATTGCTGTTGACCTGCTAGATAGTGAGAGTGCACTTGATACTTCTTGCCAAGCATTACAGACGGAGAACTTGGTGGAGGTTGCCTCTACTGGACAATGTAATGGTGTTGACCTGCTAGATTGTGAGAGTGGCCTCGATACTTCTTGCCAAGCTATACAGTTGAAGAAATCGGAAGATGTCCCCTCTACTGGACACTGCATTGCTGTTGACCTGCTAGATGGTGAGAGTGCACTCGATACTTCTTGCCAAGCATTACAGACGGAGAACTTGGAGGAGGTTGCCGTTACTGGACAATGTAATGGTGTTGACCTGCTAGATTGTGAGAGTGGCCTTGATACCTCTTGCCAAGCTATACGGTGGGAGAAATCTGAATATGTCCTCTCTACTGGACATTATAATGTTGTTAGCCAGCTAGATTGTGAGAGTGGACTTGATACTTCTTGCCAAGCTTTACAGTTGGAGAAATCGGAAAGGTTAGGGGGTGTTATATCATTTTAAATTTTGGTTGCCTGCTTAATTTCCTTAATAGGATTTTGTATTAAGCACCTTTTTGGCTGAATTCTTGACTATATTTATTGTTCTAATCAGGAGAGCTTCGCCTTCTTCATCTCCATCACCAAAGGATGTCAGTGCGGTTGATGTTGAGGATGAGATTCAGAAGCCTCGGGTAAAGTTCTTAGCACACTCTTTTTACTTGTTTTCTATGAGCTTTTAAAAGAACTTGCACCTCAATAAGTTTTCCTGTTTCTCCTAGGAATTATCGAACTTTCCAACATCGCCGAAGGTAGACCTTGTGTTAACTAAAGGGTGCGATGTTATTGCAATTCCAGACAGGGAAACAAGAGATTCTGGTGTTTTGGATGTGAAGGATGAGATTCAGAAGCCCCGGGTAAAGTCAGCATTCTCTTTTTTTACTTGTTTTCAATGAGCTTTTTAACTCAATGAGTTTTCCTGTTTCTTCTAGGAATTATTGAACTTTCCAACATCACCGAAGGAAGACCTTGTGTCAACTAAAGGGTGCGATGTTATTGAGATTCCTGACAGTGAACCGGGTGTTAAAATCTCTACAAAAACAGAGAAACCGAAAAGGTTCTTCTACGATCATTGTTTTTTTTCTCTACTACTGCATTTGAATGAATGGCTCTCTTCTGAACCCTTTTATATGGAAATAAACAGGAGACTTTTGCCTGCATCATCCTTATTGCTAAGGGATTTCAGTACTCTGGACATTAACGATGATGAGAAGCCAAAGGTAAAAATCCGTCTCTCTCGCTCTCTCTCTCTCTCTCTCTCTCTCTCTCTCTCTCTCTCTCTCCCCCCCCCCCTCTCTCTTCCCCTCTCTCGCTCTCTCTCCCCCCATCTCTCACTCCGGATATATAATGATGCATTGCTAATAAAACCAATTTGCAGCGTGGAAAGAGGAAATCAGGTGCCGTTGAAGAAAGGCACAGAACGCAAGGTAGCATCTCTCTTTTGCGTTTGCTCCACAGAAATCTTCCTAGTTAGGAATTAGTACCAGTTCATTTTGCACCTGGCCCATTTTTCTGTTTTGTGTTTTGGCCCCCTCTGCAATTAGTGTGGTGTGCAAAGTTGGATGAAAACATATTTATCTATATGCTTGCATTACCTATATCATATGAGAAACATTCCGACATGCATTCGTGACCATGTTTATTTAAGAACATTTTTATAAGATAAAAAAAATAGTTATTTTGTATTTTAGTCGCATTTGTCTTCATGTGACCTCACTTAATGTAAGTGCTATAGTCAAACACTCTTATCGAAAATCGTAACAAAAAATCTTAATATGTTATGATATTTGGCTTTGTTAACCACTAATTAGTTACAACTTACTATCGAGAGAGACTTTTGATCGATCGATGGGCCGATCTGGGGCTTTTGAAAAGTGTTTAATGACAAATGAATATGTCATCAACACTTCATTTTTGTTTTTACAATCTCTCTTGAATGCTATTCTCATACGAACTTTTTTGGAGAGATCTTTATTTTGCTGTAGCAAATGCGTGAGTCCACGTCTACGAAATTCTTTGAATTTGATATGTGAATATGTTGAAAGTTCAGTGCAAACAGCGTTGTCATTATTTTGGTTGTACCAAGAATTCTTGACATTCTTATATATTCTTTATTTTGTTGTTTTGTCCTTTTATTTTTGTTGTTATTGCTTTTAATCCAGGCATGTAAGTCACATTGCACGTTATGTGTGACATCTCACATCGTCCAGGAGAGTGATTCTTAAATGTATATTCTCATCTCTATCTAGCACAAGGCCTTTTGGGAGCTCACTGGCTTCGGGTTCCGTAGGAACTTCGAAGTTAAGCGAGAAGGGGCTAGAGCAATCCCATGATAGATGACCCACTGGGAAGTTGCTCATGAGTTTCTAAAAACAAAACCGTGAGGGAATGATAAGCCCAAAGCGGACAATATCGTGCTATGGTGGTGGAGCGAGCCCGGAAAGTGATCCATCCCGAACTGGGATGTGACATTATGAGTTCAATTTTCAACATTAGTGAATTACACAGGAGGATGTTGAAATGTTTTTACGAGTCTTCTCGTTCTTTCAAAAAGAGAACTGCCTTTAAAAAAAAAAAGGTTTTTAAATTAGTACGTGAAAATTGCTTATTCTCAAAGATAATAAAAGCTATTGAACACCACTAGTAATGATAAAAATGGTTCGCTAACCACTGTGCAAAGTGATGGTGATCTTTTCAAACGAAGCCATTTGGCGAAAGTCCAATTTTTTGTCGTTTTTTATCCACTAATAAATTTGTTGGCAAGTTGTCAATGTTTGTCTTCTAAATAAATATGTAGGCATCCTGTCTATGTTTAGGGTTAAATTAAAAACTTTGGTCCGTAGATTCTTAATTTTTTTCTGTTGCGAAAAATTGGTAAATATTGGAGAAATTAATATAGACAATATACAATTGTTGTACTACAAAAGGACTTGTAATGTCAATGCGTAAATTGAGGGTATAACACATTTAAACGTTAGTGCTTAAAGTGGTTTTACAATTTTGAAGAAGCAATGCACTACTTCGACAACGTAATACAATATCCGAACAGGTAAAAGAAAAATCATAGTCGTCATTACCAAAAAAACGTTTTAAGTCAATAATATTTATCTTCTCGATGTTACTAAAGCCAAATTCTAATCCCCTCTACTTATCTATAGTATCAGCAACTAAATTAAGGAAATGGATCCTCTTCGGATTCCTTCCTCTTAATTCACCAAATCAAGGAATCCGTACCGTTGAAATTTGATCTAATGTCTAAAGTTATTATAAATTTTAAAGTGGACCTCAGTTTGTAATCGTTTGATAAAATTTTAACAACACGAATTTTCTGATTTGGTGGATTAAAAAACAGAAATCTGAGATGATGTTTTTCCTAAATTAACAAACAAACAAGATAAACTATAAACCATCACGTCACTAAACTCGATCACATGCGTGCGTGAGCCACACGTGACCGCGACGGGACCCCATGAAAGTGACAAGGATAAGCCTCCCTCCTTTTCAGCCCGTAGGCTTTAGTTTAGACCACGTCCCACCCCCCTGCGAAAAGCCCATAAGCCCCACAACGAAATTGACATTTTTGGTTTTTGGTGCATCCAACTGTCACCTTTGCATTCCCCCATTCGAACAAAACGTCACCGTTTCATTGGTCGAGCTTGTCGCTTAAAAAAAGATTTTTTTAGTGTGATCGAAAAACGAAGTAGTACATTACGTGTCATTATATAAATAAGAAAATATGTGCGTTAAAAAATTAATAACTTAAAAAATAAAATTTATCATTACTTACCTAAAACATTTCGTGTCCGATCATAATAAAAAAAATTTCTCTAATGGATGAGAGCACCAGAAAATAAAAAACAAAACGAAAAATTAATCAAAACAAATTCAATTCAGAATTTCTGGAAAAAGGAAAAAAAACAAGAGGAAACGGTGGACTCTCGTTTCTCTCTCTGGTTCGAAAAGAAGGCTTCACACAGAACAAGGCGAGGGTTTTACGAAGGAGGAGAGAGATACAAATCCTACGAGCTTGGAGAGAGAAAGCACAGCACATACACAGAAGAGAGAGAGAGAGAGAGAGAGAGCGGAGGAGCTTCTGAATTGGACTGTGTCAAAGCTAGGGTTTTTTTTTGTCCGCGAAGGTAAAGTAGACGACGAACTGCAGCTTCTAATTTTATTTTATTTTTGCCATTTTCCATTACAATTTTGTGAAATTAATTTGATTCCAATTCGGAATTAGCCTTAATTAAGCACCATCTCTCGCGGCATTAATCCCGTAATCCTGATTAATTTTTCCATATCCGTATATTTTCACACCACTTCTCGTTCGTCCGAAGCGTGAAAAGGTGGGATTTTGATCCTCTTTGCTCTCACTCCCCTGTTTTGGATATTAGGGTTTCCCGTGTTTGGATTTTATAGCATATACTTATAGCCAAATCAATGGAGTTATATGATTAGTGGTATGAGTCTAGGTTTTAATGTCTGATTCAGTGTGTGTCGGTAATTTGTTCCCCTAATCATGTTATATACTTCGGAATTTCTTTTCGTGCATTGAATTTGTTGCCTCTTCGGTTGTTTCAGGATTAGGTTGCGTCGTATTTGTCGATGTGATCCGAAAGCTCCAATCTTCATCAGGTACGGATGCTACTCTTTGTCTCTTATTGGTTTAATGAGAGATTTACGATTTGGTATTTGTATATATGTTTTGTGTGTGCATGATGTTTTTATCGTGAGCGTGCTTGGATGATCGATTATCAGCATATTTTAAATTTGGCGGAGAAGCAAAATTTACACTTTGAATACGACTTCGATTTCATGATATATATTGAACAACGTAGCTTCATTTTTGTTTGACTGTATGTGGATTAGACTTAAGAACGCTAGATGTTGTTCGTGTGAGAGTAGGCTACTTTCTGTTTATTTATGCCAGCGTTTCTTCCCTATCTACACAATTACAGATCATATCTCTTAAAAGTTATTTGTTTCTTTGAACTTTAGTGACAAGTGCTTTTGTATGTGTTTCACACTCTTTGAAAAATCTCTCATTTATTAATCCATTGTTTGGCTGCACATGCACTTGTGTGGACTAGTGGAAGACCTTTATTGAAATTTGATGATATTTGATTGTATAATAAGTTTATGATGGTCTGGTCAAGGAATCTAACAGTCTAGCAATAAGTTTTGTTAGGCTATTATTTACAATGGGTTAATATACTGGATATAATTGTGTGAATCTTGTATCTGAATTTTGGTATAACCACAGATTCATTCAAGTGGGAACATCAATGTTGATACATTGGTCACGTAGTTCTAAATTTTGTGAGTTGAGTTCTGTAAGGGAGAAATAGTTCATTTGTGAATCTGTCCGATACAAAATTTACCTGAAAGGATCACTTCTAGTATAAATACAGCTTGTCTTATGCCTCATCATCATAATTTGATATTTTATTTTATTCTTGGATTTTTTTTTTCTTAGCTTGGTTGTACCCAACCTTCTCCTCTCTTACTTATGTTATTGTCATCTTATCTCTTCGTGGTTGTAATTTGTCAATGGTGGCAATGCATCACTTGGGGCTTATGTATAGTTCAAACTCATGCTTGATCTATGCTTTATTTCCAAAGTTCTTAATTGGAAAGAATTGTTTAGTTTTTAATTGTTTGAGTTCATTTAATTCTTGAGCGTTAAATGTTATTAACTAATTGGGTTTGCAGGTATTCTGTCTTGCCAGTTTAGAACATATTAATATTTATAACCATTGTTGCCAATTTAACAAATTTATGTTCAAGTCTCTACAAGCTTGATGTGGATCAACGTTTCCTCTTTAAGTTAAGAGTTTTCACATAATGTATTTGTTTGATTGATAGCGTATCAGATCATTTAATTAAATTTTTTTCTTATTCCTTTTACTTTGTACTCTTTGCCTCACTATAGAGTATTTTTATTGCACTATCGGATTTTGTATTGCTTGGGACAATCAATTGGTTTAAACTTCTTATACTTGGATAGTTAGATGTAGGTGAATATTTACTTGAATCTGTAATCAGTTCAAATCATTTTGTTCTCTTGACCTAATAATACTAGAAGTGTAGAATATGCACTTATGTTTCACATCACCTTTTGAATAAGAAGAAATGATATCAATGACATTAATAGTAATATGCCTTAAATTTTTACTATTTGTTGCACGATTAGAGGAACTTATTAGAAGTTGGTGCGAAAATCATTAAATATAACCATGCCCTGAGGCACCACCTGCCTGATCAAAAGGCTTTTCGTAAAATTGTTCAATTCTGTCTTTCTAACCAGTTAAGGGACATCATCATCTGTTATATTTTTGTTGTAGTACAGATATGGTAAATTGCTTATGGTGGTATTAATTTCTGTGTAAGTTCTTTTATTGATTTTTGACGTAACCATTTGTAATTAATGCAGTTCTGAATGAAAATTAAAGCATTGGTGTTCTGCATGGAATTCTTGTTGTGTAAGCATGCTGTGTAAAGCACCATGACTCTCGAAGATTTCTTTACCTTAACTGAGATGAAAGATGGACTCACAGCCCCATCGCGAGTTCAGGAGCTGGTCACCGTAATGCAGAGTGAGAAAGATTCTGTCGTGAATAATATTGGTGATGCAACCCGGCAGTGGGCTGCTGTTGCAAGCACAATTGCTGCCACGGAGAATAAGGACTGTCTTGATCTTTTTATTCAATTAGATGGACTCATGTTTGTTGATAGATGGCTAAAGGATGCCCAAAATTTAAGTAAAGATACAAATGAGAACTTTGTAGAAGAGTCAATAACTGCTCTGTTACGAGCACTTGAAAAGCTGCATAGACACAATAAGGGGTCATTATCTTCAGGGATCTGGAGTACCGTGAAGAGTCTTCTTAGCTACAGAAGCTCCATGGTTCAGGATCAAGCAAGACTGCTGTTTGATAGCTGGAAGGAGGATGGTAATGCAGTTCATGTTGATGTTGTGAATGCTGGGGTTCTCTCAGATGATGGGAGTTCTAAGAGTTTGGAAGAAGATTCTAAGCCATCTGCTTTAAATGTTACTTCAGAAGTAGGTGATCACAGAGAAAATCATTCATCAGGACCTAACCCAGATGCAGTAATGCCATTAAGGACTTCGGGTGATCTTCAACCAGAAAGTGCTGATGCTTTACCAATACAACCTTGTAACAAAGAGTCTCCCCCAACCCACAAACATTTAGACAGCGCTTACATCAAAGATGGATCTCTGGATACTTTGGCCTCTGCTGTTGTGTTGAACCCTATTCACGAAAATCCTATAAAAGATGAATCCTTTATATGTTCTGTGGGAGGGATTACTTCAGTTGGAACTTCTATTTTTCCGTTAGCAAAACTGAACAGTGTTGATGAACATTCAGACGGTCCAAAATTGAATGAGTTGTCAAAAAATGAAAATCAGGACCACAAAGTCAACAGTTCCCCTAAGAAGTTGGGAGTGACAGACATCTCTTCAGGGTCTGGTCTGTTGGAACCTGGGATTGTTTATTCAGGTGCTGATAGTGCTACTTCCCAGGATGTGGCAACTGATTCTGCTTTGCAAAAAAATGCCAATCAGGATGATTCTTGTGAAAAATATACTGCTTTTGGTAGTGAAGGGACGACTGCATCTGATCCAAAGGGTGTGGTGGATGATACAAGAGCTGTCAATCCTTGCGGTACTACAGTTCAAGAGGGTGAATGCTGTTCAAACACGCCGCAAGACTCATCTGGGAATGGTAGTATTTCAGGAAAACTTGAAGATTTGGAGACTTCTTCCAAGATGGCTGTTGATGAAGATAAGGAGCATTCAAGCGATGAAGATGAGGAATTGACAATTCCTAATGAGTATCCTAAACTAGCAATTGATGCCAAAAGTCCTGACACAATTGATAAAAGAAGGTCAGATATTGAACTTGAGTATGGGATGGTTGATGCTCTAGAAGTTGCTCGACGGGTAGCCCAAGAATATGAAAGAGAAGAACCGGACTGCAGTTCATCTTCGGAGAAAACTTCAGAATGTGGACTCAGACAGGCCAATAGCCCAGAATCTATAAATGCAGAACGGGACTTACCTACTCAGGTTTCACCAAACGAGGCGCCAACTGAACAAAGTCATTCTGCAGAGCCAAATCCTGAGAGGGAGGACCACATAGATAGTTCAGAAAATCTGTGCACTACTCCACATAGTCATTCGGCAGAGGCAAATCCTGATATGGAGTCCTCTCAGGTGACTGAAGCAGCTCAAGAACCAGAAGTTAACCCAGAAAAGGGTCTTTGTAGTTTTGATCTAAATCAAGAAGTGTGCTCCGATGAAATGGATCGCCCGGTAAATCCCGTCTCTACGCCAATTCCTGTTTCAAGACCAGTAGCAGCTGCTGGCTTACCTGGAGCCCGTTTGCAGTTTGAAGGGGCTATTGGGTGGATAGGATCTGCGGCGAATAGTGCTTTTCGCCGGGCATCTCCTCGTAGACTCTCAGATGGTGATAAGAATCTTTCTACAGGGGCCACCAGTGATAGCTCAAAGCAGAGGCAAAATTGCCTTGACATTGATCTGAATGTGGCTGAGGATGGTGATGATTTAGGAAAACAAATTCTAGTGTCATCTGGCCTTCCTTCTGGGGAATCTTCAGTGGAAATGAGTCAGAATAGATCAGGGAGGCCCCATTTGGATCTGAATCGTATTGATGATGATGGTGATGCCTTACCATCAGATTCAAGGGTGGAAGGACAGTTCTTGTTCAACCGGATTGGCCGTCGCAGCCCATCTCCTGCTTCATCATCTTCATCAATGCAGCCTTCTATGAGGAATTTTGATTTGAATGACAGGCCATATTTTCATATTGATTCTGTAGATCATGGGCCGGGTAAGTCTTCTCAAAATGCAAATGCATATGGATGGCCTAGACAGGATGCTTCAGTTATTTCTATCATGGGTACCAGAGTCGAGATAAACAGAAAAGAAGCTTCTCAAAATCTGTCCCTGGCAAACGGCAAGGCTATTGAGACCGCAACAGAAGCTACCATGGCAAGAACTGGAAGCTTTTTGGACATGGGTTCAACAGTCTCTTACTCTCACCCTCCTGTTTTCGGCTACAATGGATTGGCAACTGGACCCACCTTGTCGTTCTCCTCAGCTATGTATGGACCTGGTGGCACAATCCCCTACATGGTGGATTCCAAAGGAGCCACGGTTGTACCTCAAATTATGGCCTCTCCATCCGCTGTTCCTCCACATTTCTCCCAGTCACCGTTCATCATGAATTTGACTGGTGCGCAGCCAGGTCTAAATGGTGTGATAAATGGTGCTGGGCCATCACGCCCCAGTTTTGATCTGAACTCCGGCTTCATGGTTGATGGAGGCAATAGGGACTCGGTGGGCCTGAGGCAGCTTTTCATTCACGGTCAGGGAAGGTCAATGGAGGATCATTTCAGGAATAACTCACAACCCCCTTCAAGTTCTACAGTTGGTGGGAAAAGGAAGGAACCAGACAGCGGCTGGGAACCATACCCGTTCAGCTACAGACAGCAGCAGCAGCAGCAGCAGCAACCACCGCCGCCATGGAGATAGAAGTTTTTTAACTACGCCCTGACATTTCTTTGGATCAGTTTCATAAATCCAACTAAGTGGTAGATTGATACACGCGATCCGGAAGTGGGTGAGCTCTTTCGCTCTATCAGAACCCGAATAAAGTTGGATGGAGTTTTATCAAGGTAACATTATTTATGTGATTAATTGCTGAAGGAAGAAATTAGGTTCTTGTTTTTAATTTATTGGTTTTTTGTTTCGGTTTTCTCTTTTATGTGTTTCATTTCATAGAAGGCCAGGGCAGTGCAGTGCAGTGCAAAAATAGGGAGACTTTTTGGTACGATGTAGCTGTAATTTCTCTTCTATTCAATTTCTATGTATATCACACAAATTATAGGGACAAACAATTTCCTACATTATTTATTTCAGGCAGTCTCTCTTCCTTGCGTGTTCAGGTCTATCTTCACTAGTTGTGGTTATGTTATGAGCTCGGCTTGTATTTTAATTTATTGGTTTAGCATTCAATTTTTGTTTTTGATACAACGATATCATTTACACCAAACGGACAAGGACTAAAGTTACACAATGGGCTGCCATAATGAATTGGTATTCACGAGGTTCGAAGTTGAAAATACCAGGAGATTGTAATGCAAATTGACCAAAATGGAATCTTTCACAAACATTAAGAGCAATAATTCAAGGTTTTTAATCAATTTTACGATTTACTAAGTAACAACCCATTCACGGATCTCAGGCCAAGTCCATTAACTCGTTAACCCAAAATTTTTCGTGAAAATTTAATAATATTTGTGGTATATTTTACATAATTATTAAGGACAATTCTGTAAATAGCAAGTGACTACTATTTATCGAGCAACAAAAATATTTTTAATTGAATATTTAAATAAAAAAATAGTGATAAAGTCCAAAACATTGTAAAATGGGGATCTACCTTCAAGAATATCAACGGAAAGTTGAACATTAATTTTAAAAAACTTCTGGTGAGCCAAATGTGAAAACATAGACTTAATGATGATCTTTGTACGAATTTATAAAACCGACTAAAAATCGTGACTTGGGACATTGCCAAAATGGGGGTTTCACTTCACTGAATTTAATTCGAAAACTAAAGAGTAAAGAGTAAAGTTAAAGGAGACTCGGGACATTGCTAAAATGGGGTTTTCACTTCACTGAATTTCAAGGGAAAGTCTCAAATTAATTTTGAAAAACCTCACGGTGAGATGAAGGTGAACCAAATAGATTTAGTGATGATTTTTGTACTAATTTGTAAAACCAGCTAAAAAATGTACTGTAAAAATTCCCAAATTGATTTGAAAGTGTGGGTAACTCACAATTTTTCTAGAAGAAATTGAAATTTTTAGTTTTAGGAATTTTTTTGAGTGGGAGCTAAGAAAAATGTCGCATGCGATCCTATCATTTATTAGTCTTTAAAACTATTTTTTCATTGATTTTTAAATTCGAAAAATAGAAATTGATATAAACTAAGAGTGGGCACCCAAATATTTATTATGTGTCAAAACTTTTTAAAATGTCCTGATTAGTTTCAGGGAACATGTGGTGGTGCAACAAGAATAACTCCAATTTTGACTTATAATGAATTTTGTAAAATTTTCAAAATCAATTTGAAAACATGGGTCATAACTCACAGTTTTTGTCAAAAAATTGAAATTTTAATTTTAGAAAAATATATTGTGTGGGAGCTAAAGAAAATGTGAAGACATTTGGATGTGATCCCACCATTTATTAGCTCCTGAGATTACTTTTTATTGATTTTGAAACTTGAAAAGTAGAAAAAATAATACAAACTAATAGTGGGCCTCGAAATATGTCTTAATTAATTTTAGAAAACATGTGCTACCACGAGAATGACTCGAATTTTGGTTTATAATGAATCTTGTAAAATTCTCAAAATTGATTTGAAAACGTGGGTTATAATTCACAGTTTTTGTAAAAATTTGATATTTTTAATTTTAGAAAATATTTTGCTTGGGAGCTAAGGAAAATGTTTCAACACATTTGGATGTGATCTTACCATTTATTAGCTCTTGGAATTATTTTTTATTATTTTTAAAGATGAAAAATAAAAAAAAAATTAATGACCTAATGGTGGGCCCCAAATTTTTTTTTTATGTGTCAAAAATCATTGAAATGTCATGATTAATATTAGGAAACATGTCATACAACGAGAATGATTCAAAATTTGGCTTATAAAGAACTTTGTAAAAATCACCAAATTGATTTCAAAACGTAGATTACTCACGGTTTTTGTCAAAAAATTGAAATTTTAATTTGAGAAAATATTTTGCGCGGGAGCTAAGGAAAATGTTTTAAGACATTTGGATATGATCCTACCATTTATTAGCTCTCGAAATTATTTTTATTGATTTAAAAATAATAATAATGACATAATGGTTGGGTTCCCAAACTTTTTTTATGAGTTGAAAATTTTCAAAATGTCCTAAATTAATTTTAGGAAACATGTGGTGTGACGAGAATGTAACATCCCACATCGCCCATGAGAGTGGATCCTGTAAGCCTTATATGTATATTTTTATCTCTACCTAGCATGAGGCATTTTGGGAGTTCACTGGCTTCGGGTTCCATCGGAACGCCGAAGTTAAGCGAGTTCGGGCGAGAGCATTCCCAAGATGGGTGACCCACTGGGAAGTTCTCATCTGAGTTCTCAGAAACAAAACCGTAAGGGTGTGGTAGGGGCCCAAAGCGGACAATATCGTGCTACGGTGGAGTCGAGTCCGGGATGTGGTGAGGGCCTCATCCCCGATGTGACAAGAAGAATGACTTGAATTTTGGAGTAAAATGAATCTTGTAAAATTTCCCTAAATCGATTTGAACGTAGATTATAACTTACAGTTTTTAGTTTTAGGAAATATTTTGCGTGGGAGCTAAGGAAAATGTTACACGACTTTTGGATGAGATCCTATCATTTATTAGGTCCCAAAACTATTTTTATTTATTTTTTATCAATTTTGTAAATTTGAAGAATAAAAATATATATATAAACTAATAGTGGGCTACCAAATATTTTCTGGTGTCGAAAACCTTAGGAATGTCCTAAATTAATTTTAAGAACATGTGGTTCGATGAGAAGTACCAAAATTGTTGCTTCCTGCTAAGGTTTAATCCTTTGAAGCAACCACATAGTGTCTACTGTGAACACCCACATCAACCGTTGTTTACTGACCTCGAATTCTTCCTCTGTTGCCTAAGCAATCCCCATGGTCGACAAAGGAGGTTGACGGGAACAAGAGAACCTCTATAAGCAGAAGTGACAAAGGTAGTAAACACGCCATTTCACTCGGCTCCAAACATGTATAGACATCACAATCTGATAATGAAGTAAACATCATTTATTTGACTACTCTCTTTATGCTTTGAATGGGTTGGAGAACTCTGATTTTGGGTTTTTATTTTCTAAATGAGTGGAAAGATAAATTTACATATTGAATTGGATTTGTGAGGGTAATTTAGGTAGTATATTTGGGTTAAAGAGATATTGATGGTTTTAATTAAAAGTAATATGGGTGTAAAGAAGTTGGGTGTAGAAAGATGTTAAATGAGTTCGGATAAAATTTCCCTTTGTGGTAATGTACTAATGTTTTTTTATTAATCTCTTATTTTGGGGTATGTAATACTTGAAAGACAATTTTATTTTATTTTATTTTATGTTTGGAAGTAATATTTATGCGACAATGCGGTATGCATTAACTAATTTAGTATTATATTTTTCATTTTTTTGGGTCAAATTATGTTTTCATTTTTATTATTTGTTAATTAAAAATATATTTTGTTTAACGAGTAACAAGTTGGGTCATATTACCTGATAATATTAACAGGTCGATTTCGAGTCGAGCCATGTTACCCATTTACTTACACAATGCGATCTATTATGATATGGGGTATGTCACGAAAATGACACGAACACAAAAAACACGACACGAATGCAACATTGCCAAAATTGAGTTCACCCTCAAGGATATCAAAGCAAAATCTTAAATTAATTTTTAAAAACTCACAGTAATACGAAGATGAAAATAAATAGATAAATGATAATTTTTTAAACGAATTTGCAAAACCTACTAAAATCTTGAGTTTTTAACCCATATTTTTTTGTGAAAAACAACATTTTTATTTTTTGCAAAATTTTTTCCATGAGAATTAATGAAAATTTTATAATGCATTTGGAAGCAGTTTTACAATTTATTGATCAATAATTGTACTTTTAATAAAAAATTTAGGGGTATGATATCCACACATCCCATTTTACTTCTCACACACCTTTTTAATTTTCGACCGTCAGATTGGATGAATTGAAGAAGATCAATGGACAAAAATTATTAAGAAGTGTGTGAGAAGTAAAATGAAGTGTGGATAGCACACCCCAAAATTTAAACCAACAAACAAAAGGAATAAGTGAAAAAAATTCGTGGTGAAGCCCAAAACATTGCCACAATGAGGTTCCACCCACCCTTAAGGATATCAATGACCAATATTACATTAATTTTAAAGACCTCAAGCTCACGATGAGGCGAAGGTGAAAACAAATAGACCTAATGATGATTTGTGTACGAATTTACAAAACTAACTAAAAAACAGTAATGATAACGCACATTTTTTGTGAAGAGTGCAAACTTTATTTTCCCGAAATATTTTCCATGAAAATTAAGGATAACTTGATATCATTTCGAAGCGATTTTACCATTTATTGAACAACAAAAGTAAATTCAATAGAATATTTGAGCTGAAAAATGAAAATTAAGTGAAAAAATGGTAGTGAGACCCAAAACATTGCTAAAATAGTGTTCCACCTTCAAGAATACCAAAGTAAAGTCGTATATTAATTTAAAAACTCACGGTGAGATGAAAGTGAAAACAAAGTAGTTAAACGATGATTTTCATATGAATTTGCAAAACTAACCAAAAACCGTGAGTGTTAACCCACTTTTTTTTTATTTTTTTTATTTTATGAAAATGAATTTTATTTTTGAGTAATATAGAAAATAGAACCAAGGAAATAATGTAGGCCTAAGGTCAACAAAAGTCAGGTCCTACGAGCTTATAATAAAAAAAAAAAAAAAAAAAAAAAGTTGGTTTGTTTACTAGTAAAGTAATGTAGGCAAGTCACTGACACGCCCCGACCCCGAGGTCCTAGGAACATCGAGATGGTCACGTGCTAGACGACTCCCGAAGGATGACGAAAGCCATTTAATTTAAACGAAAAACTGAGAAATAAGCTAAAATACGCCATAAGGCTAATTATACAAATAAACGTGCAAATTCTAAGTATTGAAATTAGGTAATTACACAACACGTCTAGAGCATAAGTCTATCACGGAGTACAAGCAGAAAACTAAGATAGAGAAGTGCTATTACAATAGATGGCGAAACAGAGTGAATAACACAACATCACTGGTA